GTTAGCGCCATTAGCTCTGTTAGCTCCAATGGTTCTGCTAACCCCGTTAGCTCTGCGCCTCCACCCCAGAGCATCATGGGAAATATGAGACAGTGCTCTCCACATGTTTCAGTTTCAGTTTCTCCCTCCAAATAAATGTGTTTCTGGCCCAAAAACACCAGGATGCTGCTCCATGCTGCTGTCAGGAAAAGAGGCCATTTTGTGACATTTCTCTGGATAATTTCATTTGTTTGCATTAACTCCAGATTTTGGACACTGGTGGGAACACACTGGGTTTTATTCCCCTCCTTTGTTTCCACTGTGAATCAGCCAAGTGCAGCAGCTCTTTAAAGGCTCCTGCTCACTCAACCTGGGCGGAAATTCTTCTATAAATGCTAATTAAAAGCTGATTCCACCATTTTTCCTGCACTTATCACAGCTTTATGTCCAAAGACGCGTCGGACGAGCCCAGAAACACCAAAGCAGGTCGTTCTTCGTCTGTTTCCCCTGAAAAGGAAGCAGCCGAGCAAACAGTGTTTAGAAAATGGCATTTTTTGGACACAGTCAAGTGTATCAGTGGGCTCTGACAGACTAAAACCTCTCTCTGGGTCTCAGTGGCAAAGAGCCCTGAGATCTGGGTGATGGGCATTATCTCCTGGGCTCCATCCGCCTCCTCAAAGGAGGACTGGACACAACCAAGTCCTATTGGCCAGTTACCTCTGAACAGGCCAGGTCCTAATTCATGCAGATGACAGGAATGTGCTAACAAATGGTGTGTGTTGACCTAAAGGTGGATCTAATGCTATAGTATAGTATAATAGTTATAAAAGAAAATAAAACAATCAGTAATTAGCATAGATCATGTGATAGCATACAGTTACTTCTGGGCATGAACAGGCCAGGTCCTAATTCATGCAGATGACAGGAATGTGCTAACAAATGATGTGTGTGTGTGTTGACCTAAAGACGTGGAGCAAAGAAAGAAATAGAGAGAAAGGAAAAGAGAGAAAACAGAGTCTATGGACACAGCCAGAGACTTTAACACAAAGTTATGGTTCCATAAGGAAATAAAACAACACAAAAATACAGTTATAAAAGAAAATAAAACAACACAAAAATATTGTTATAAAAGAAAATAAAACAATCAGTAATCTATGCTAAAGTGAGTAATTACAGACAAATTCTGACAGGAGGACTGGACATAACTGAGTCCTATTGGCCAGTTACTTCTGGGCATGAACAGGCCAGGTCGTAATTCATGCAAATTACAGGAATGTGCTAACAAATGGTGTGTGTGTGTGTGTGTGTGTGTCGACCTAAAGGTGGATCTAATGCTATAGTATAGTATAATAGTTATAAAAGAAAATAAGACAGTCAGTCATTTACATAGATCATATGATAGCATACAATGCTAAAGTGAGTAATTATAGCCAGATGCTAACAGGAGGACTGGACATAACTGAGTCCTATTAACTAGTTAGCTCTGGGCACGAACAGGCCAGGTCCTAATTCATGCAGATTACAGGAATGTGGTAACAAATGGTGTGTGTGTGCATGTGTTGACCTAAAGGTGGATCTAATGCTATAGTATAGTATAATAGTTATAAAAGAAAATAAATCAATCAGTAATTAGCATAGATCATGTGATAGCATACAATGCTAAAGTGAGTAATTATAGCCAAATGCTAAGCGGCCCGTCCTCCTCCGGTCAGACAGGAATTATCCAGACAGGAATCCGGTAATTAGCCGGCTGGGAAACGGCCTCCTCGTCCAGGCTGGTGGCTGTGAGGCCTCTCAGGGGTTCGGCTAACGGAGCTCTGCCAAATTTCCGCTGGTTTTCCGTTTCTGCTCTGAGCTGGGAGGAAGCTCCTGTTGGTCATTAAACCGGATCACCTGCCTTCTGCTCCCTCTCCGGGGGAGTCCGACCGTGTCAGGAAGGTGGGTCTTGATGGAGGACTCAGGCGCGGAGATGCAGAAAACAGGGTTTATTGGAACAAAAAACACTCAAAAGAGTGGAAGTCCAGACAAGGTAAAAAAACACGGCTGTGGCAAAACTGTGACATAACATGACTATGGACCAAAAACGAGACTATGGCATGGAGCAACAGCAAAACCTTACGTGGAAAGGGGTGACGAGAACAGAAAGACGCAAACACACTGGCACAGGACATACCATACCATACCATACCAGCTTTATTTATAAAGCACTTTAAAACAACCACAGTTGATACAAAGTGCTGTACAATCCAAAAACACAACAAAATAAAAGTAGTTTAAAAACAAAGACATACACTTTAAACTAAATCTCACTTTAAACTAGATCTCACTGGTGTTGAAAGCCAAGTAAAATAGATGAGTTTTAAGACGAGCTTTAAAAGTGGACAGAGAAGGGGCCTCTCTGACCTGCAAAGGTAAGTCATTCCATAATTTGGGGCCCATAACAGAGACAGAGACATGGGAAACGAGGACTATTTAAACACATGAGGGAGGGGAACCCCAGGTGAACACAATAGGAAATAAAGACATGACAAGACACCAGACATTCCCCCAGACGTTACAGATGGTTCTCCTCACCTCATCTGTACATTTATGAATTTAGACCCTTTATGTAGGTTTTTAGACGTCTCTAAGTTTGAACATCCTGTCTTTTAATACATCCTGACTGAATTTTTCTTCCTGTCGGGCTGAAAGCAGCTGGATGCTTCCTGCTCTGGTTCCCAAACTCTGACAGAAACACCAACATCTGATCAACCAGAGTCCAGAGAACCAGAGTTTCTCCTTTTTCCTCCAGAACCAGCTCTGGTTTTCTCCTAAAGACTCTGAAAGTCCTCTAACTTTATTCCAGAGCTGAAAATAAAAGATTTTCAGTCACTTCTGGAGTCGTTTAACACACAAAATAAAGGTTCCAGCTCCAGTTTACAGCTTTACCGTCCTGCTTTTCTTCCATCTAACTGCCTAAAAGGACCCAAACGGCTCCATTTAATGAGCTTTTTCTGGATAAACACCAACATCTGAGCCTCTGACCCAACCAGAGTCCAGAGAATCAGAGTTTCTCCCTTTTCCTCCAGAACCAGCTCTGGTTTTCTCCTAAAGACCCCAAAAGTCCTCTAACTTGATTCCAGAGCTGCAGAAAAAAGCCAGAAAGCTTCTCCTCTGAACCTGAAACAGGTTTCAGTCTCTTCTGAAGCTGTTTGCATTGTTGAAGCCCCAAACAGACGTTCAGCTCCAGTTAAAGCTTTAAGCTCCTGTTTCTGATGAGTTCTTCCATCTAAAAGGACCCAAACGCTCCATTTAAGGAGCTTTTTCTGGATAAACACCAACATCTGAGTCCAGAGAACCAGAGTTCTGCTGCTTCTCCTCCAGAATGAGGTTCACCTCCTGGATCAGCTCTGTTCTATCAAATGTTTCAGAAAAAGTGGTTAATTTGTGTTTATGTGTTGAAATAAGTTGGACAAAAAAGGACAAAATGAGGGTTAAAATGTCCCTTTGGTCAGTTTGGTGAAAACTCCCCCAAAAAATAGGAGTTTGTTTGACAAAATGATAAAAGATGTAAGTCTTTACTGATGTAATCCCACAAAATTGATTAATGAATCAGGTAATTTACAAAAGGAAATGAAATAGAATAAGAATTTCTGAAATGTAAACATTTTAAATTCAATAAACAAGATTTTTAGCTTTTTGGCACTCTGAGGACTGAATGATCTGTCAACTAAATAAAACAAGTTGTGATATCACACAGTAAAAACTCCTCCACTGTTGGCTGTTTTCATTCTGTCTCTGATGTTTTTTTCTATCAAAATGTAACCCCAGATGTTAACCAGTTGTGTTTCATAATGACGTTGGTGTTAATATGCACAGTTAAGAAAACAAATGTTCTTAAATTCAAACAGTTTCTGTAAACAGAAAAACATATAAATAATATCTTTATAATTCCTGTAATCTCCAAAGCAAAGAAAGTGTCAACATCTGTTTCACAATTTGTTATGTAATGCAGAACACGATGCTTTAATTGGTCAGTGGGGATTTTAATAACACACAGCAAATAGAGTCATTTAAATATTGATGTTGGGAATCCTGTTTTTATCTACTGAATTATTAAATGCCCAAAACATATTTAATTTGTTAGAACAGTTTTATCTCCATTCAGCGTTTTGCTAGTCTCTTTGGTGAACTATATTTCTGCTGTTATTGCCTTCTGGGAAATCATTGTCTTAAAGGAATCAGTTATTGAAACTCCCACGTTTAATTTCAGAGGCTTTCAAAAGAAAAATAAACCAATGCTGCCCCCAACTGGACAAACAGCAGAGAGACAGTTATTATTTTTCATTTAATTTATTTTGAAACATGATATGATTTAACAATGTTTACATTGAATGCTTCATAAACATGCATCATGTTTAAAAAAGCAGTAGGATGAAGCATAAGCTTATTAATCCCTACCCCTCAGTTACATGTGTCATGGGGGTAAAGGACAATTATTTACAGTAAGACAAACAGTATAACTTTTAATATATTACTCCTTTTTGTATTCATCAAAAATACTTTTCTTATATTCTTTTTTTAATTGCTGGATGCTTTTACATTGTTTAATGTTTTCAGGAAAGCTGTTCCAGAGCTTCACTCCGCCAATTGATAAACTAAAGATTCTTTTTGTTGTTCGAACATACTTAGTTTTGAAATTTAATTTTCCTCTTAGATTGTATTTTCCATCTCTATCAGAAAACAATTGTTGTATGTGAGCAGGAAGTAAGTTATTTTTATTATTGTATTGTTTATTTATTGTTGTTTATTTATATTTATTATTATCAAAACGATGTTCCAGACTAATCAAACTACCATCTACATGAATACACACTTTATTTTTGTCGTTTTGTAACCATTAATAAATAAATACGTTCAGGCAGAGAGGAGACAGCCTAAAACCTCTCGGCTGTGACGCTACCGGAGGAAGGCCCCGGGCTGTGACGTATAATTGAGGCGCCGGTTATTTTGTTGGGGTCAGCGTTCGGAGGACAGCAAACATGACCCAAAGGGCGATCCGGCTGCTGGTTCCGGGCGGAAGAACCGCTCTAACGGCGGGAAAAAACATCCTACAGAAGGTGGGTCCCGGAACCGGTCCAAACCGGTCCGGTTAGGCCCGGTTCGGCCGGGAGAGGGTCTCAGATCCGCAAGGACAAGCTAACGCGGCTAGCCGCTTAGCCACTTAACGGCTAGCCGTTACACTTAGACTTCCTTTATTGTCATTGTACAGAAAAACACAAGGTGAATCTTGACAGCGAAATGTTGATTACTTGACTACCAGTGTAACAGAGCTAAGACCTTATTCCTACTTAATAAATATGTTTTCTATAACTTAAGAGCTAGATATATACAGGGTAAGAGCATATATATATACATATTATTGCACATTATTGAGTTATTACAAAAGAAACATCAATGAATATTGCACTGAGTTGATTGCAAAAAGAAACAATTGAGTTGAAGACAAAGGAGAGAGGAGGTGAGAGGTGCTAGGAGGTGAGAGGTGGGAGGAAGTGAGAGGAGGAGAGAGATGAGAGGAGGTGGGAGGAGAAGAGAGGAGGTGAGATGTGAGAGGAGGTGAGAGTTTGTGAAGACAGACAGGGACCTGCTGTTCTTGTAGACTTGTAGCTCGTTCCTCCATCTTGGAACGACACATGCAGACAATCTGGAGATGAATTTGAGAGGTGGGAGGAGGTTAAAGGAGGAGGTGAGAGGAGGTGAGAGGAAGTGGGAGGTGAGAGGAGGTGAGAAATGGTGAGAGGAGGTAAGAGGCGAGAGGAGGTGGGAGGGGAGGAGAGGTGAGAGGAGGAGAGAGACGAGAAATGGTTAGAGGAGGTGGGAGGTGAGAAATGGTGAGACAAAATTATACGAAGTGGGAGGCAAGAGGAGGTGGGAGGAGGAGAGAGGAGGTGAGAGGAGGTGGGAGATGAGGAAGTGGGAGGTGAAAGGAGGAGGTGAGAGGAGGTGGGAGTCTGGAGACGGATCTGAAAATAGTCTGGAGATGACTTTGAAAACAGTCTGGAGATGAATTTGAGAGGTGGGAGGAGGTGGGAGGGGGTGGTAGGAGGTGAGAGGTAAGAGGAGGTGAGAGGAGGTGGGAGTAGGTGAGAGGAGGTGGGAGTAGGTGAGAGGAGGTGGGAGTCTGGAGATGGATCTGAAAATAGTCTGGAGATGAATTTGAGAGGTGGGAGGAGGTGGGAAGAGGAGGTGAGAGGCAAGAAATGGTGAGAGGAGGTGGGAGGAGAGAGGAGGTCAGAGTTGAGAGGAGGTGAGAGGCAGGAAATGGTGAGAGGAGGTGGGAGGAGAGAGGAGGTCAGAGTTGAGAGGAGGTGAGAGGCAGGAAATGGTGAGAGGAGGTGGGAGATGAGAGGAGTCCTGTTAGCAGATGCAAACAGTCTGGAGATGGATTTGAATGTGAGAAGAGGTCAGAGGTGAAGAGGAGGAGGTGGGAGGAGAGAGGAGGGAGGTGAGAGGAGGTGATAAACTGAGATTTCTGCGTCTGCGCCTCCTGTAGGCGGGGCTCCACTCGGGCACCTCCCTGCGCCTCCGCTACGGCTGGTGGGCGTACGCTCTGGGGGAGAGGACCTCCCCCCGCCTCACCCACACCAGCAGGATCATCACGGTGGACGGGAACCTGGCCTCCGGCAAGGGGGCGCTGGCCCACAGCCTGGCCCAGAAACTGGGTAAGGGCACCTCCTCCCACCTCCTCTAGCCTCTCACCTCCTCTCACATCTCACCTCCTCTCACCTCCCACCTCCTCTCACCTCCCACCTCCTCCCACCTCTCACGTCTAACCTCCTCTCACCTTCCACTTCCACTAACTTCTCACCATTTCTTTCCTCTCACATCCTCTTCCCTCCTCTCACCTCTCATTTCCCACCTCCTCTCCCCTCCTTTCACCTCCTCTCACCTTCCCTAAACCTCTTACCTCCTCTTCCTCTCACCTCCCACCTCCTCTCCCCTACTCTCACCTCCCACCTCCTATCACCTCCTCTCACCTCCCCTCACCTCCCTGTCATCTCACCTTTCACCTCCCCCTCCTCTCACCTCTGACCTCCTCTCACCTTCTCTTACCTCTCACCTCTCACCATTTCTTGCCTCTCACCTCCTCTCACCTCCTCCCACTTCCTCCCACCACCTCTCACGTCTAACCTCCTTCCACCTCCCACCTCC